CCAGGTCTTTTTGAAAGTTTCTTCTCAGTATTATTAATACAGCAGCCACTTCGGCTGAGAACCACGCTACAACAAGGAAGGCGGGAGAATGGTCATTATAACCGAAGAGGGAAGCTCTCATGTTAATTGTTCTTTGTAATGATCGCAGGGAATAGATCATCTTTTAGGCATTTCCCCAGGACACCGTTTTGCATCACCAATATTACCCTAACAGAGGTGGGGTGGATGTAACGGCCCGTGATGTTTTCCTTTGCGTAACTTGGTCTTAGTCATACATGGCAATTATGAAAGCAGGTCTTTGAAGGGTTCAAGCAATCATAGCGAATGCTTTGGTGGGTGGCGATGGATAATTAAATTTCTTGCATCGGGACGTTGTAGCTGAAAGGTGCTTTCTTAAGCCTGGGCTTCTTAGGACAGTTAACACCAGTTAGGTGTTTCTAACGTATGTTTGTCTTAGGGGTCTGCGGTTGTAGGAGCGGTGTCGAGTGTATAGACAAAACTGTGCGACACTGCTGCGTTAGAGCTGTGACCTGCGTTCTGTAGGGTCGACTTCTTTTATTTAGGTGCCAAGGAAAAGTGGCGTCCATCGAGCTGGATGAGATTCTCCGACAGACACTGACATGAGTAGTACCGTGTTTCCCGAAAAATAAGACTACCCATAAATAAGCCTGGGCAGGATGTCTAAGCATTGTGCCCAAATAGAGCCCCCCCGGAAAGTCAGCCTAGTGGACGGGCGTGGCTATGAAAATCAGCCCTAGTGCACGGGCCGTGGCTATGCAAAAATCAGCCCTAGTGTGGGCATGGCTGCGGCAGCGGGTCTGCAAACCGTGGTGGTCGTCGCGGAAGGGCCGCGGGGAAAGATCACGAGAGCCCTTGTATCGCGCCCGTTAGAGCTTAGTGCCCACAGGAGCGATGGGGGCCGGTGGCTCTAAAGGAAACACAGAGTTGCCAGACGCATTCAGGGATGGGATTCGGTGGTCTGGAGAGTGAGGGATGATGTTCCAGAAGAAGACGCCTTCACTCTGTTTGATCATGTAGAAGGTTGTACCGGTACTTAAAAAAAAATGGACAATCCCTGAAATAAGGGCCCCAGGGTGTTTCTTGAGGGAAAAATCAATAGAAGACCCTGTTCTTATTTTCAGGGAACATGGTGTATCGATTGGGATTCTCCATTATCCTGCAAAGCTCCGTTTCTCGGAGGATACACACGTTGGGCTGGTTGTGCATCAGGACTAATTTCCAAGCTGGCCAAGAAACCATCTCGACTGATGTTGATGCGACAACAGAACGGAAAAAGAGAACCCGCATTGTTTCAAACACATTCGGAGACACGGTCCGCGGGCGCGCACCTTGTGCTTGTTGTTGAAATGGGGGTGTTGGTGTCTGGGCAGGTCAGGGCTTTGGTTGACCCCGAACGGCTTCCGTTTTCTGGCTACATCCTGCCAAGCTTCTCTGCCGCTGAGATTTCTGCCATCCCGCTGCCGAGTGTCACTTGCATAATGTTGCCGCTTCGAAAACAGATTGGCCAACAAGGAGCTAGACAGCCTCCGCATTTGGGGATTGCTCGGCGTCCTAGTTTAGCTCCCGTTGACATTAGCACCGCTCGCCAGCCGAAAAGTTCTCCGTGGATGTTCCGCAGCTGAGCAAGAACTGATAAGATGCGAGTATTTTCTTTTGCACTCAGAGAGACACGAGACGGACCCCAGGGATGAATGTTCTCTGGGGATGACCCATGCAACCCGAGATCCAATTTGCCTAACTTAAGGGCAGTGCTTGGGGGAATCCAATCTTCCCATTTGTGGGATTAAGGGTCTGCTGTTTCTCTTTCTGATTAGTTATTTTAACTTTTTTTTCAGGTTAATAGCATACTCAGGCCCTGTCCGACCTCATGTTGCAGGGCTGAGGCAAGGCTGTGGAGCTCCCCTCATGATTCACGGCAACGGCGAGATCCAAGATCCCGGACGGAGCTTGAGAGCTCTCGCCTCCCTGCAGGTAAAACCCCGGCACATTGTTAGCCATGAGCATTGCTAATTTTTTGCTCCTGCTGACGACCCACAATAACAATCATAATAATAATACTCTATTCTTGGGGGGATGTTTCCACCTTAGTAGATATCTGAAATCAAATTAGAAAAAACCCCAGGAACTCTAGTAATTCTCCCCAATGATCTATAAAATGGCTTCTTTTTTTTGCATGGAAAGACAGCTTAATGCCATGCCTGTTGCCAGCCGGTTGCACTGGTTCCTGTCGTTTCTCGGTGGGTTTTTTGTAAACTGCCAGACGGGATTTGTCTTTCCCCCTCCGGTCTTGGCCTGTGTGACGCAGGTTTTCACAAGTTCGCTACAAACAAGCTTGCGGGCAGAATCTAGCGCGCCACGCTGCAAGGGCCTGTCCACTGACTGAGCTGCACGTGGGACCACAACAGGATGCGAGTTCTATCCCCGCAGGGCGTTCAGCGGCCCTGACCTCCCTGCGGCTGCTGCACCCTGGAAGTCAACCTGCTGCAGCAGAGCTGCCACCGGCACCTTCTCACCTTCTCCTTTCCTGGGTACTTCCGCCTCTCCACCGTGGGCACCTCTACCTAGCAGCACTGCTTCCGCACGCTGCGCCGGCATGCTCAGGGAACATGCCGCTGCTGGAGAACATCTACCTGCACGGGACCCTGTTTGGGGCCTGCGGTGGCCGACATGAAGGTGGGTTCTGGGATGGGCAGCGCCAGTCCAAAGGTAAGATTGAGAAGGGGCACCACGGCTCCCAGGCTGCACACCCTCTCTGCCTCCCGGAGCCGTTTGTTGTTCTCAGGCCAGGCGGCATGTTCCGAGATGCCGGCGGGGCAGCCGTGGGAGCGGTTTCTGCTACGGTAGAAGGGTGCCGCACGGTGGATGAGGCGGGAAGTAGCCCAGGAGGAGAGGTGGAGAGTGCTGGGCTGTGCAATCTGCATGCACAGGTTGGCCTTCCAGGTGCAGCAGCCGGCAGGGCGAGGTAGGCCGTGACACGCCTGCGGGTGGTATGAACTCGATCCTGTTGTGGTCCGTGCAGCCTCAGGCAGGGTGGACGGGCCCTGGTAGTATTATTACTTTTTTTGCAGGTTTAATAGCATACAGGCCCTGTCCGAAACCTCATTTGCAGGGCTGAGCAAGCTGGAGCTCCTCATGATTCATGGCAACGAGATCCCAAGCATCCCGGATGGAGCTCTGAGAGATCTCACCTCCCTGCAGGTAAACCCCGGCCGCCACGTTACGATGAGCATTGCTAATTTTTGCATCCTCTACGACCCACAATAACAATAATAATAAAAAACTCTATTCTTGGGATGTTTCACTTAGTAGATATGCTGAAATCAAATAGAAAAAAAAAACCACAGGAACTCTATAATTCTCCCCAATGATCTATAAAATGACTACTTTTTTTTGCATGAAAAGCAAGCCTAATGCCATGCTGTTCCAGCCCTTTGCACTGGTTTCTGTCGTTCACCGTGGGCTTTCTAAACTGCACACTGGATTGGTCTTTTCCCCTCCCAGAAACTCATTTAATTCTCCCTAATGATCAATAAAATGACTATTTTTTTTTTTTGCATGAAAAGCAAGCCTAATGCCATGCGGTTCCAGCCCTTTGCGCTGGTTTCTGTCATTCACCGTGGGCTTTCTAAACTGCACACTGGATTTGTCCTTTCCCCTCCCAGAAACTCTATAATTCTCTCTAATGATCAATAAAATGACTATTTTTTTTTTGCACGAAAAGCAAGCCTAATGCCATGCGGTTCCAGCCCTTTGCGCTGGTTCCTGTCGTTCACCGTGGGTTTTTTCTAAACTGCAGACGGGATTTGTCTTTTCCCCCCCTCCCCGTCTGCCTGTGTGCGCAGGTTTTCAAGTTCAGCTACAACAAGCTGCGGGCGATCTCAGCGCGCACGCTGCAGGGCCTGTCCACCCTGCTGAGGCTGCACGTGGACCACAACAGGATCGAGTTCATCCACCCGCAGGCGTTCAGCGGCCTGACCTCCCTGCGGCTGCTGCACCTGGAAGGCAACCTGCTGCAGCAGCTGCACCCCGGCACCTTCTCCACCTTCTCCTTCCTGGGCTACTTCCGCCTCTCCACCGTGCGGCACCTCTACCTAGCAGACAACCGGCTCCGCGCGCTGCCCGCCGGCATGCTCGGGAACATGCCCCTGCTGGAGAACCTCTACCTGCACGGGAACCCCTGGACCTGCGGCTGCGACATGAGGTGGTTCCTGGGATGGGACGCCAGGTCCAAAGGTAAGATGAGAAGAGGGCACACGGCTCCCAGCTGCACACCCTCTTGCCTCCGCGGAGACCGTCTGTTGTTCTCCAAAAGGTTCTCAGGTTGCTTTGCTTATCTTGCCTTGAGTGAAACGAATGCACCCCGATCAGTAAGGTGGGAACTCGCACGTGACAGGTGGACGCTTCCATGTCAAGACATCCGCATTGCACACGCTAATGCACGTGGCCCCTCGGTAAAATACAACGCAACGAGGTCATGATGACGTAGCCGGTTACAAGCGTGGTGCTGACTCGGGTTGTCGTGACTTGGATGTCGGGGGTGTGGCGTCCAACCTTGGGCTCCGTGTGGGGAGCCGGGATGGGGAAGGGCTAGGAATCCACGTCCTGTGTGTGAGGAGGTGTCAGGGGATGCTTGGAAAAGGGCAGGCTTGGGCCGGCTCCAGAGATAAGATGCTTTATCTCATTCTACGGATGCCTTGAAAGCAGACCCATACCCACTAGGGGGTCACGTTTCCAGGCGGACTTCTTCTTTATTAGGTCTCCCCAACGCCAGCACGTGGGGCATCCCAAAATGGCACTTTACATTTATGCTTGATAACTCAATTATTATACGATTCAAACATATTTGAGATCGTACATTGTTTTCCGTCGCTGTGAATTGCGTCGGGGGACACATTTACAATAACTAATCTTGAGATGTCGATTTAGCGAAGAGTTATGTGGAGCTGTGGACAGAGCTGGCTATATCGTTCCTTTGGCATGACATTTCCGAAGTAATTTACAGGTCATGCCTTGCATAAGAACATATGTCCAACAAACAATTGACACTTTCATTCCGGTTTCATGACAACGTGTTTGCAAATTAATCTGATTCATATGAGTCACACTGGTTATCATTTTGGAAGCGTATTCATCATAATGACAGCCTCTGGTCCATCAGTAGACGGATGGATTTATAAATATGCAAAAATTAAAGAATGCAAGGATAAAAAGCGCTTACTGACCCTTCCCCATAGGCCTGACATTTATTAAAACGATGTGTTCACGCATTTGAGAGCTTAATCTCTCTACCATAGCTGGCAGCGCTCTGGTCTCTCGAGTACACGCTTTCCCAGGAAAACATGAACGAACAACCAAAACTAGTAGCTGACACCTCGAATCTCGACTCTGTGTCGTTAACTATAAATACAACCACTAATAGGGAATACATGACTACCCTAGTAAGTGACTTGCAATCTTCTTCTAATTTTATATGATATACGTATATAATATCGAATCTGCACTATTCTGAGAAGGGCCGCAGGATAAACCGTTTCCAAAATCCAGCCTGTGTCAAAAAGACGTTACGTATTCATAGCTAATTTCACATCATCCATACAAAACTATCTTTGTGCAAAAACAATCAACAGTCTGGAAATTGTATTACAATAAGTAAAGAATCTTTTCCAGCAGTATAAAGAATCAAGGGCTTCCGGTCAAACAATACGATCAATATGCTTGATTATGCATATCTAGCGAATTTGACAAGCTAGACGAATGGGTCGAGCATTAACTCCACACTTTTGTTGTTCTGAGCACGACCGCATGGTTCTTTAGTCACATTTATGGTACAGTCAGTTTCTGGGAGCTCAAGGTGTATCCGGCGTGGATCCTGGTTTGCAAGTTCCCATCAAAAAAGCAATTATGTTATGCCAAATGTCCATTAGTTTTGACCTCCTGTTTTATTTAAATTGACATATTTTGTAATCATATGTTTCTTTTAAATAATATACTTAAGTAAAACTATGTGAATAAGGTCCCTGAGAACAAGTAAATTACATCTCCAGTATCTTGTCATCCTGTACTACACCCATCTTAGGTTTAAGTGCACATAACATAGTACTCAATTTAAACAATTCCCATATTAACATTTTCCATTAGTAATACTTAAGCAATCATATTGTGATGAACATTTCAATACACGCACTTAATCGGTTTAGTTGCTAAAATGAACCAACATGATGATTGTTAATGTTTGCTGCATATTGCATGCCTCTTTTTTATCACATATCATTCTCTCGACTTGGTGGCGAGTGTTTGAACGCTCCACATTGGGGGCCTGTTCTCATCTCTGTATCGAGATGATGCATTATCCGTAGACAACCTCAGAAATCTACGTATTCCAAATGATTAATGTCACTCACAAGTAAAACGCATTTGCGGCCGTTGCTGCGGCGCTCAAGTCCTCGATAAGGTTAAGGTGATGCAGATCTGCTGAGGCGGGAGCGGACAGTAGAAAATACATATATCAATTATGGGTCACTCCCAAGGATGACTCGACACTATCAGGGATACACTATATCTGACAAGAATTAAGATCACTTGTAGAACAATCATACTCCAGCAGCATATCTCTCTCTAGATGCAAGTGAGAAGCTTTACCGAAGCATACATGGGATAATTATACGCCTATACATTTTCTGGCCATAAAAGCCGAAGGAGCTAACTAATCATCATTATCCAGCTGAGATTACGTTTAACTAGTCTTGCCTCTAAAATACAAACCAATACCTTTTATCCGAGTTTCTGCGACATCTTCTCTCAGCAAATTCCGTCTCTGGTCAAATAAATAAGGCTTAGCATTGGTAGCAAGCAATTCACTATCATGACTATGTGTCTATCCCAAGATCCAGGAAGTCGGTCTAATACAATAATCTCACAGCACACAGACACACTTGCTCAAATGTAATAGTCTATCATTAGATCCTCTGCAGGAATATCAGACTGACGCGTCATTATATGTAATGTCACTAATCTCACATATCTCTCCTCTATGTCCATGTAAATGTTTTACGCTGCAGACATGAGTAGGTCCATAACCCTAATATAATATTTACAACTGAATATGCATTAAAACCTCATCTTCCACTAGTAACATTTCGATTTACTAGTCTTTCAACCTATTTGCCCAATTCTACAGCGGCCAGCGAAGATTTTTGCCACCAGATGTATGTTATCCTTTGGTACAATTCAAAATAACCCTTGATTACATCCACTATTTGTCAATCGAGGTCGAAGCGATGAGTTCTTATGGCTATTGTCTCTCATTCCATTTGCCTATCCAAGATGATGCAAGATATTAGACACAAATTTGTAAGTATATGGCTCTGCCTATGTACGTGGTTAGTGTGCATATCACTACCTGTTCACGCTGAGCATGTGGAGGTAGGTTATCTACATTGCGACGCATGCTATCCGACAAGATCTTGCGAGCTTGGTGCCTTTGCACATATCCATTACACCATGTAATTAAGTAATTTTTTTAAATAGAGGTTGAGGTTTTTGGTTTATGTTGTATATGGTATGGAGAGGTATAACGGATCCAGATCATTACCTCAGGATCTCAGAATTTATGTTGTTGACAGAAATTTTCACTTGACCTCCTGATTACGCGGCTATCTACTTAATAAAAAATACAAGGAACCTATAAGTAGACAGCATACGGAAGACAAATAAATGCAGATGGAAGTAACTAACCTTTGAAATCGACAACAAAACCGGAAGAACCAGTTTCAAATCCGTCTATATATAATTCGCAGAATGACCTGATGATATCTCGCGACAACGTCGCCCACTATTCCAGAAACATTTTGCAAATGTTATTATCTTGGGCACTCGATATCATTCTTTCAAGTAGCGAACATGATAAAGCCGGTACAGATTAATGCTACTGACTTCCTCTCAGCGTGGAATGTATGAAATGAAATTGTTAAGTATAATTTAAATACATATGTCAAATTGCAGAAGGAGCTTTGGGAAAGCATCAATTCCGCTATAACACCACCTGACAATAGGAGTCTTCACCAACGCATGGTATTTGACATTGCTCTCTAGACATGGAGCCATGCTCAATGACTAAAGTTTATTCTACTAGATCAGTTGTTGCTATTTAAGAAAAGGTACAGTTCTCAGAAACATTTCCTCGTATTCTGACGCTCATGCCACTTTATTCCACGTTGCTTGAGACTCACCCTAGACGCCGTTATCCAGAATGAACCATATGGAAATTGATTTCGTTTCATTATCACAGAAGATTAAGAAGATGCTCATCCACAATTTGTTACAGCAAACATCTATTGAAGTATTATTCCTGGTCTCTACCTATAAGTCAGCAAGATACTCGCAATGACAGGATTTGGCGATAAGAATAAGGTAATTCATCTTTCTTTTTCTATAGTGCCATTGTTGTCCACGAGCCATACTGCTATTTTATGCAACAGCGGTCCTCGACCTCCTTACAATATCCAACTTTATATGACCTTCTACAGGACATGGTGTGCAGTTGAGCGTAGAAGTTCCTGAAATTCCCTGTTAGATTCGTTAGCGCACGTGATTTTGCTATCACCTAGGACCTGTCTTGTGTGTCTGTCCTATCTATTGAGCTAAGTCCGACCAAAAACTTACGTAATAATACAAAGTGGTCTTTGAGGGTTCCGACATGTTTCGAGCGAAGCGTGTAAAATTAGGAAATGTATAACAATTTAAGAAACTCTCAACTCAGAAACATAGTTGGCATTAATAGTTAGAAAGTCAGAGCAAATGCCTATCATTGAAACCACATCAGATAAGCTTGTTCTTCTTGTCACTAGTGCATTCACCGATATAAACATCAGGCCGAACCGAGCTTTTCCGGCCTGGCTAGAGACATGATAATTACTGTACACAGTAACTAATCACTCTGAAGATCGTCTTAGACCAGTGGCGACAAAGAACGAGATGCAACTTCGTATAACCTGGCTCTTAGGAAAGGAATTATCCACAACAGAACTAGCAAATTAAAGAAATTGGTAAAGGTGCAATTCATTGTCTGCTTGTCATGTTAGAATTTTCGTGATATATAGAGTAACATTGTTGGTGCTTTTACACACAATTCTTTTTGTTTGTGATGAACATGATGAGCGTGACAAACACACTACAATTAGAAATCTGATACGTTGGGTCGGATACTTTAATCTTTTTTCTTTAATTTAAAGGTG